GAGAGCAGCCCCCCACAGACAGAGGCTGCTGCGGGGGCCCAGCCTCTGTCCGCAGGGAACTCAGACCCCCTGCAGACAGGGGCTGTTGCACCCGGCAGCCCAGGATGGCCACCAGGAAGAGGGGCTGCTGGACTCAGCGCAAGCCGGAACCAAGCAGTCCGGGCACGCACTGGTCTGGGACGCTGCGCCTCTGCATTTTAAATGAAGTAAGTGCCCAGCAGCTCTTGCTACATTTAAAATGTAGGGCCGCAGTCTGGGTGGCTCCTGGAGCTGGCACAAGCCAAGACTGCCGAGTCCCAGCTCCTAGACCTACCACTGCAGAGCGGTCCCTTATCAACTAATCATGTAGTTAATACAAATTGTATCAACTAGACAATTAGCCAGAAAATGGCTATTTAACATTCTGAGTTGCCATTCAACCTGTCAGTCAGAGGTCCCTCAGACAATAACCTCTGCAGCTAAATTCTGTGAACTAGTGGAAGTGAGTCAGGTCTTATCTAATTCAGAATAAAATCACATCTTTAGATAAACCATTACAACCTTGTGAGGCAGGTCTCATGAAATTGTATCATATTCTTTATCAAGTCCCCTCCCCTTCCCCATTTGTTTCAGGTAAGGCGTTGCAGATATTTGCATAAGTGCCTTCTCCAGTAGACATTGCTTCCAGATACTGTAGTTCTTATGTTTCCAGATTTTTATTTTTTTTTTTTAGTATTTTATAGCTGTGATCCTTGATTAAAAGTAAGTGTGTCTGCATGCTTGATCAATTTCAAAATTTTGTTCAGAATTAGGGAAGTGTGATCTTAATCTTGCAAATCTCTTTTTATCTTACTCAGATTCAGAGTAAAATAGATTTATGTATCTATTCCCAGCTGAAATTCGTGTCCTTTTTACTACCCCCATTTCAGGCTTCTCTATCTTAGCAAAAATCCCTTTCAATTCTAATTAAGCTTCTATTTATTTTAGTTCTATTTAATTCAGAAAGTGTCCTAAATGTGAAGATAAAGGCTTTTATTGTCTAAAAATTCCAGCTTTGAATCAAATATGAATTTTTGGCAGGTAGAATTCAATTTGTCAATAGACAGTAAAATTACTATGGTAATTCAGGGCATTTTGTGACTGTTTTCTGTCTATTTAGATCAAAAACTGCATGAGGCAGGAATGTAATCTTCCTGTGTTTTGTACAGTCCAAACATTCTGTCTGCATCTAACAAATAATAGCATGAAAATGGCCAGGCCCTCTTTAAAATTTGTTATATTTTTCTCTTCTACAATGGTTTGTGTGTCATGAGATGAGACATAATTTTTAAAATATCTGTGGTCTGTCATATCCGGTAGACAAGCAGTTTTCAAACTTTTTCTCAGTATGAACTGCATCTTTAGAGTGCATCACATGGGGCACCTTCCATCCTGTTTACAGTAACATATTACAATGCGGCGACTACAGCAACTAGTTAAATGGAAAAGTAATAAGAATATTTTTGTTTGTTTTTAATTTACCTTTGTTTAGTGTAATGTTCACTTTTTTTAGTGTTCCCCTTATGTCCCAGTCCCTGAAATAGATCTCCAGTGTATCATCAAACTCATTCTCATGAATGAAGCTACTCAAGACAAAATTCTCCAGTAGCAGGGTGTTACCCTATTGGCCTGATACTTCTTGGATGATGATGATTGTTCAACTCTTTCTAAAGAGTGCAGTTTGCACCATCCCTGTTTGGAAGCTGAAATTATCTTCTCCAGAGCACATACTCTCCCCCTTTGAAAGGGCCTTATGATAACCTTAAACCCTGCAGCTGGGTCTTGTGTTAGTTGTGTTAGCATATTCAATAAATTTAGCAGTGTTGTATTTTAATCTGCAGAATTTATCAAACAGGCTTCGTTATTCTTAGCTCTAGTAGTGGGAGTCAACCCAAGTCTCTTGATAGATTTCACTCCAAGTGCTCTTGTTTGAAGCAGATTTGTTTTATGGTAGGTGTCCTATTGTAGATAATTGAGTGTCATTTAATTTGTGCTTATTGACATATCACTTTAATGCTATTTGAAAAATAGTCTGAAGTGTGTAGCATTCTAAATGCCTTGTTTGTGATTTGTAGATAGAGGATAAAGTGCAGTCTTGGAGGTTCTGCAAAACAGTCTTCAGTTGCTTTTTTTGATAAAAAGTTACAGCTTCAGGGCAGAGCGCCGTGTCTTGGGAGTAGCAGTCTTTGTGAGCCACACTGCTGTATTCTGCACTCTGTATATTAAATACAGTAAAACTCTGATGGTCCGGCATCTGATGGTCTGGCACTCCTGATGGTCCGGCACCATCAGGAACCCAGAAGTGCTCCGGGCAGCCGGACCATTGGAGCTGCTCTTCCCCCAGCTTCCCCGATTCAGCCGCTGCTAAAACTGACCAGCGGCTGAATCAGGGAAGCCCGAGGCAGAGCTGCTCTGCCCCTGGCTTCCTGGAGTCAGCCGCTGGTCAGTTTCAGCAGCAGCTGACTTGGGTACACACCTGGGGTAGAGCAGCTGGAGTGCTGCCAGATTGGTCCAGTAGCGCTGCTCCTCGGCGATGCGGGACCAACCCGTCAGCGTCCCAGCTGCTCTACCCCAGGCATCGTCGGCGAGAAAAGCCTGGTCTGCTGGGGGGCGGGGGGTGTGTGCACTAGCTGCACCCCCCCTCCAACAGACCAGGGAGACGCGGGTGGCGGGACAGCCCAGACACGCTGCGGCTGTCCTGCTGCCGGCGTCCTTAGAGGCTTTGCTCCAGCAGAGCCAGACTATCAGAAGGGGGGGCTATGAAGGGTCTGGGGTGGCATCCCCCCCACCCCAGACCCCTCATAGTATCCCCTTCCGATAGCCCGGCATATCTGATAATCCGCCCCTCCCCCCCCGGGTCCTAAAGGTGCCGGATTATCGGAAGTTTACTGTAGTCTGCCCTGTTTCATGCCAGCTATGTGGGGATTTCAGGAAAGTCTGGGTCTCCGAATTATAAAATACTTATTGCACTTCAGTGTTTTGTGTTCAAGATGCTCATCGAATGCAAAGATTTACAATTCTAGAGATAAGGTTTAGCTCCATTTTACAGACTGGAAAGCTGAAGCATAAACAGATGATGTGACTTGCCTAAGATGATATGAGTCAGTATGAGCTAGGAGTAGAACTCCAGAAACCTGTCTCTAGAGCTGAAGATTCCTGGTTCATTCCTTCAGACCACGTTCTCTCATAATGCTGACGTTGTTATCCTGTGTTCATTGGTATATTTTTCTTTAGGGTATAGTAAAAAGCTATTTTATTTTTCTTGATGTTTTCACAGGTGCTGGAGAAAATCTGGAAAACACAATGGCAGCTTTTCAACAGTAAGTGCAAAAGGAGAAGATATGCAGAATAGTCATATTTTAATAATTGTATCTGTATTGAGAGGCATTAAAGCAGCAGTTCTCAAACCGCAGCCACCCAAAGATGTGCAATTGATTTAAACATTTTCATGTACTCCCAAGGGTCCCCATTCCACTCCTTCCCCTACAGCCCCACCCCACCTCTTCCTGCCCATTTTCTTTCCCACTCCTCCCCATTCCCTATCAGTTCCCCAGTGTGCAGGAGGGAGGGAGGAAGGGAGAGGAGTTGACCAGTAAGGCTAGCAGCTCGAGATATTCTACTCCTTTCCCCCAACTGACTCTGCTCTTCCCCCTCCCTCCCAGCACCTCATGCACGGTCTGTGGAACAGATGTTCCACAGGAAGCATGGGAAGGAATTAATCAGCAAGGCTAGCAGACTTTGTGGAGTAACATCATGGATCACCAGGAGTCCAAAGACCCCAGTTTGAGAAACGCTGCATTAAATAATTGTATTTGGTACATTTAAGGTTGTGGCACATATGGCTGTTTAAGGTACAATATTCCATTTCTGTAATAATAATTCTTTACATTTATGTAATTCACCTCTGTTGTCCAGTGCACACAGTAAGTATATCCTCAGTTACAGGTGGGGAAACCGAGGCACCAATGTTGTAACTTTTTCCGTGATCATGTTAAGACCATGACAATTGGGAACAGAACCCAGGAGAGCTGATTACTATTTCCCTCTTCAAGCTATGAAAATATACAGCATGTTATTTGTAATACTGCCTTTGGAATCCACATCTTTAGCTGAATAAGATTTGTGTTATGAAGATGATAGTACTGACCTCAGTATATTTGAAAAACAGAGTAGCTTGCTGTCAGTTCTTGGCGCTGCATTTAGGCTGCCATATGGAGATTTATTGTGGTCTTTCAATAATTTGCAAAGCTTTTTACATAGTTCATATGTTGCTGAGAGGTCTTTGGGAGAGATTTACAGAAGAGTGCAAAGGGAGGAGACCCAGATGGGTTAAGGGATTCTACTCATGGCATTGTCTGGTGACTTCTGTATTGAAATGGATAGTGTATGGGTGAAAGAGGAAATATCAAACCAGACGGGTTTCTTTTTCCTTGGCTTAAAAAATTAAACACAGCAAATTAGTAAAATTCTGCATCTGTATCTGCATGGAACTGATAATAGATTTCTTGTTTTAAGGCTTTCATTATTTTCAAATAGCTTCTTAAAGCTCTTTTCTCTCTCTCCCTCTTATAACTGCACCTTTTAACTTATTCACCATACTGTATCTTTACACATTTGCTTTCTGTAACTTTTATCATTTGTGTTACTTCTCGGATATAATTTGAAAGACACTAGTATATTGCAAATGACAGTGCACATCCATATGCTAATTAAGACTCAGGACTGCAATTCAGAAGACTGTTTCTTTGTTCAATTCTTTTGTCAAGAAACCTGGAGCACGTTACTTCTTTTGCTATACTTCAGTTTCTTCGTTGTGAAAGGGAAGAATAATCCGTTTTTGCCCAAGTGTCAAGGCTTAAATTGTTAATGTCAGCAAACTGCTTTGAGGTCACTGATGGGAAGGTTCATTAGAAGTGCACGTTATATTTTTTTTTCATATCTGCTGAGTACCTGTCTTGTGTGAAAGTCTCTGACCTTTGGGTTTTTAAATTGAGTTGATATTGGGAAATCTTTTCTAAAGCCCCTCTACCTACGGGCTTTGAAAATGGTGCATTGCAAGAAAGTTTTCAGCAGTATTCCAAAAAGAAACAAATCCAACTTTCCTCACATTCACCTAATAGTTGGGAAGCAAAACGCCTTTTTTTACTTGACTTGTATTTAACAGCCTCATCACACTTAGTACATTTTCTTCCAGAATATACTCAGTGCCAGTGTTCCTAACCAAACAACACTATTGAAGAACTCTACAGGACTTCTAATCTCCATGGCAGCTTAGCATAGTGGGTGTTTTTTAATTTAAAAAAAAAAACTTTTTTTTTTTCTTCAAGTCTGTCTACATATTTTCCTCAAAGGAAGCTGTTACCATTTTTCAGTTTTCACTTAAAATCTATGTAGCACACTACATAAACAGAATAATCAAAATGACAGATTTAAGACAGTTTTCTTAACTTAAATACAACAAGCTGGGAAAAAATCTTCCATGTTTTCTCATCTGCATTTTAGTATATTTATATATTAGTACTGAGTGTTGCATAATTTTTACCTGGAAAACTTGATTTTATTCCTACAGTGCTCAGAAGTATATAGGGTGATGGTTCCTGCCCTAAGGAGCATAATAAGAGTAAAACCGCACTTTGAGTAGGGCTGTCAAAGTGTAGTCAACTAAACGATTAATCAATAAGCCTGGGTTTATCGGTTAATCCTATTGACTATATACATGCCCTCCCCCGTCCCCCCCATGCATCTGAAACAGAGGCAGTGGGGGGGGAGGTGAGAGCCAGTTTTTAAGCTGGCTCCCCACAAGCACCAGATCTTGCAGAGCTTGCCTGCCCTCCTCCCCCCACTCCCGCATTGCTACCTCTGATAGAGAGGCAACAGTGTGGGGAGGGGAAGGGGGGGGAACAGCTCTGTGGTAGTTAATACACACAGGAAACTGGCTTGAAAGCTGGCTTCCCACATGGACCAGCTCCCGCCTGCCCCTTCACCCTTCAAAGTGTGAAGGGTGAGGTGGACAGGCAGGAGCCAGTACACATGGGAAGCCTCAAGCCAGCTGTCTGCATGTGCCAGCTCCCCAGAGCTGCCTGCCCCCCATGTGCACTAGCTCCATGGAGTCGCCTCTCCTCCCCCCTCATCCAGCGGGATGGGGGGGAGGAGAGCAAGGGAGGCTGTTCCATGGAATGCCGTCCACAGCCTCTGTCCACAGGGAGCTAAAATAAACGTCTAACTGCTAAAATTTTATACAGTTACACAATTATTCAATTAATCAACATCTAACATCCCTAACTTTGAGATATTGTGTTCATTACTGTCTTTATAGCTTGCCAGATTCATTGTTAATTTCAGTTAGACTGTAAACTCTACAAGCCAAAGACCACATTTTTCTTATATGTAATTGAAAATAGCTAATATACTTGTGGGTGCTATAAAATACACATGAACACAACTGATGTTAGGTTTTAAATTATTTTTAATTGTGGTGTGAAATAAAAAAAATCTGAATTACTTGTAATTGTTTGGGGCTTTTAGAAAACAAACACCCTGTATTTGTGAAGGTATCTGTTAAACCTAAAAAAAATTTAGCATGGTCAGGGTTTTATCATTAGCTTGTGAATGAATATCTTTGACATCTTAAGTACTGAAGTGTCCAACGGTACCAGAATACTGTCCAACTGTACCAGCATACTTTGTATTTTTGACTCAGGGGAATGCCTTGTTTTTTGTAGGGCAGTGTGTGTGAGAAGTTCTGACTGTATTGTAGAGCAGACTGCCATTAGTCACAGGCTGGCAAACACTCCTATCATTAACAATAGGATTTCTTGTTCTCCTGCTTCCATTCAGCAATAGTTCTGTATTTTTAAGCAATAGTATCATTTGATAAGTTAATGGTAGTATATGATGTTGGACTGTCATTCATGAATTTGGCCGCTGTCCTATAATATAGCTAGAAATACTGGTTTTTCCCAGGGACCCAGTTACTTGAAACCAGGCTGAATATCAGAGTATTCTTGATATTGAATTTTCTTCTCCTCTTCTCAGGCTTAAACATTGATACTAAATGTTATCTAATATGACACATTCCTAGTTCTTGATCATCCCAGAAATCATGTTAAGCAGCTATATAGCAATATGCTACAAAGTTTGTTCTATAGTGTTGCACGTATGCTATGCTCGAATAATAAAAGGTCTAATTGTAGTCTCCCATTGATTTGAATAAACGTTGGATCTGGCTGAAAATGCTGAAATCCAAAATACACCAGTAAATGTTTAAGATTCATTGTCGAAAAGCTAAGAAAAATATTCTACTGTTTTAACCAAACAGCTTTCAAACTTTTGCTTGTATTTCTTAGCCAACTGTAACTTAATTGATACATGTAGATTTCTTGTTGGAGACTGCAGCCCGTTTGGAGTCTCTTTTTTGCATTTTTATCCAGCAGTTTAAAAAAAAATACTTCTCAGTTTTACCTACGGATGTTAGAATGCATGTAAGTGAGTAACCATATGTCAGGGCTGTTCCCCACTCAGGCATTCTGAATGCAGAAGATGGGGGGCCCACAGAAGACCTTCAATACTTTGCCTCTACCGGCTCTGCTTGCAAAAATCTCCCCAGAGTCACTGATGCTCTGGCTCTGGAAGATAGGCTGCCACCATCAAGTGATTTTAAGGAACCCTGAAAAACCAGGAAAGAACACTTGAATTCCTTCCTCGGGGTACCCCAATCTCTTCTGCCACAAGAGAGCGTGAAAAAAGGAACAAAAGAAAACACCAAAAACAAACCGTGTATTTGATAGCTGACCTCTTAGGCTAGGCTAGGCTAGGCTGGGCTGACACACACACACACACACACACACACACACACACACACACACACACACACACACACACACCTCCCCCCCCGAAGAATCACATCATCACCTTAAAGATGATTTTATTAACAAAAAGATATCCTTAAAGTATATTTGGTTGTTAGATGTCATAGAGACGCTGAGAGAAACAAATTAAAACACAGATAACGTCGTATCTCTGGGTACAGCAGTTACACATGGGCCCCCGGGAGCTGGTGTGTGCTAGGAGCCGGCTTTTAACTCGGCTACCCGGGTGTACCAGCTCTCACCTGCCACCCTACACTGCTGACTTTGATACAGAGGCAGCAGAGTGGGGACACCATCTGGGTCCCCAGAAGCGGAGCAGGAACCTAGCTGTAACCATGAACATTAACCGATAAGCCCAAGCTTATTGGATAACCATTTACATGGTTAAACTTTCACATCCCTAGTTTTATCTGCATTGTATTGAGAGTGCATAGAAGTTTTGATACCAGAATGATCATTTAAGCAGTTGAATGGAAGAGCTGTGGCTAAGTCCTCTGCACTTCTCTGAAAAATCTAAACCTGGATTTTTGCCAGTGATTGGTTTAAATTATTTAGTGAGGTGGACAATGCTCAGGTAGGAGGTTAGAATGGTTACTTAAGAGATGAAAAATGAGGACAATAAAGGGTGTGTGAGAGAAAGAGAGAGAGAAACAACGCAACGCAACTTGCTCAGCAAGAAACAGGTTAGAATCCTTATTGTGTCAATATCCCTAGAAATTTAAAATCCTTGAAGCATTACATAATGTGTGTACTTTTCACTACTTGTTGATGGTGATAAAATGAGGTCATATCTTCTAAGTAAGTGATATTTATAGCTGTAAAAGTCAGTGATTGACTCTTTACAAACTGGCTTCAGAGGTAACTTATAGGAATGCAGAGGAAATTTAATCTCTTGGGATTTGCCTCTCAGTAAAACTATCAAATGTGCCACTCACATGGGCTTCTCAAGTGGTAACAGCTTTTGTTCAGTACAACCTGAGCTACATTTTGGCCAATATCCAAAAGGTGCAAGACTGCATATCCTTTTGCTAAGTCCTTGAGCCATCCAGTCTCTGCTAACTTAAATCACACAAGTTCTTTAAAAAGAAAAGAATCATAGTACTTAAGTGTTTAGTATTTCTGTAGTTGTCTCGTATGTTGTTTGTCATTTAAGAAAAAAACTAACACTTTTTAAAATCTTTAAAAGCAAATCCTTGGCAGTTCAAATGATTTGTCATTAAAATTAAATGTATAATTTTCCTAACAGTAAAAATGCTGAGACTAGAAAATGACAGATGCCAAAGTTATTAAGTTTTGGCCACAGGGAATGAAGTGCCATGTCACCCTTAAAGTTGGTCTTTCTGGCTTGAGAGAGCTTAGCAGGACAGTGTGTTGTAGTGTAAGTACAATGGGGAAAAATATGCATGGAGTCAGGTGCCTCCAAGTTCAAATCCTAGTCTTTTGACATTGGTCTTGTGTAAATTGTTAACTTTTCTGTTCCTCAGTTTCAGATTATATATATGCAAATAATTTCAAGTTTCCTGGTTTCACCAGGACCAAGTTCACTGGATAAAAGTTTGTGTATTTATAAATTACTTGCGCATCCCACAAAGTACTTGTGGTTCAAGACTGCTTTCTGGTTTGCTGCAGTGCAGTTAATGTGGGGACCGATATGTTGGAGCTAGACTGTCATCTGACGAAAGATGAACAAGTAGTGGTATCACATGATGAGAACCTGAAGAGAGCAACTGGAGCAGATGTCAGTATATCTGACCTCAAGTACTCGGTAAGTTTTAAGAAAATTTAAAAAAACCCAACCCTAATTATTATTAAAGGCAACAGATACATATTGCTTTAATACATCAAGCTGGGGAAGGAAAAGAAGCAAAGGACACCACACTTGTGTTTTCCAAAATGTGTGTCTTCTTTGTAGAACATCCCTCATAGTAATATCTAAGTACTGACCTCTCTTTAAAAACACATCTCTTGCAGAACTGTCATTTTTCACTAACATTTTACTAGAATTAACGAAGTCTTAGATAATTTCAAAATCATTCTTTGGTTTATGCACTTGCTTACAAAGGCAGCTCTAAGAATAGTCATTCTCTTTGTGCAAACAATGCTCAAAGCCATTTTTAATACCAGCTAAAGAGTCAAGGAGACTTTACAAATATATTATACAAAACGTTAATTATCGTGAAAAAATAACTATTTTTATTTGTCTTGATATGTCTTATGCTCCTCATGTTTCAAGAAAAAACAATTTATTGTTTTTGTGTGTTTGTTAATGTTCAATTTTTCTGTATTTTTTAAAGGATCTCCCACCATATCTCTGCAAATTGGATGTCACATTTCAGAAAGGTAATATTTGTTTCTTTCTAGGTAAACCTATCATTTTAAATTGTAACAGCATTTACAATATTTTTCCATGCGGTAATGGTGGCATAGTTCTTATTCTGACAAATGGGTTGAAAGATTGTTTTAATCATCTGCCTTGATTTAAAAAAAAAATAAGTTGTTTTAGAGTGTCGGAGGGGGCTCCAGCTTTCGGGTGATCAAGGCTAGGGTTGGGATGTTTACCAGTTAACCTGCCCTTGCTGGTGAACTCTGGCACCTGGCCGGGGCAGCCCCGGTCACAGAGGGACCAGCAGGCCAGGCAGCAGGACCCCATGGCCATGATTAAGCTGGGCAGCAGGCCCCAAGTTAAAACAGTTGATGGATTAAGCACTATTATTCAACCGGTTAACCATTTTAAAATTAGGGCAGGAGGGGCTTACCTTGAGCGGCTTCTGGTCAGTGGTGCAGTGGGGCCACTAAGGCAGCTTTCTCTCCCTCCTGGCACTGCAGACCATGCTGTACCCCAGAAGCAGCCAGCAACAGGTTCCCAGCTAATGGGAATGCAGGGTTGGTGCTTGGGTCAGGGCAGTGTGCAGTGCTCTCTTCCCCCTAAGAGCCAATCCTGTTGCTGGCTGCTTTTGGGGCACAGCGCAATCTGTAGTGCCAGGACAGGCAGGTAGATGCTGTCACACCCTCACTGGTCATCTGATCATCCTGCAGTGATGAAACCCAGTGCCTGACATTCCATGACCCCGTACTGGGTTATGACCCATAGTTTGAAAACCACTGACCTAGATAGTTGCAGTATTTTCTTTCTCAGTGGAATAAGTATTGTGGCTTTTCAGAACTATTTTTCTTGTAGCCTTTTGATCATAAGGTTGAGTGTTCTTTTGTCTGCAAAATACTGAGGCACATCACAATGGTGACACAAGTCCATTTGCTTTTCTAGAATGCCACTGTGAGGGTGAAGACAATCGCATTCCACTGCTGAAGGAGGTGTTTGAAGCATTTCCGACCACGCCAGTCAATATTGACATTAAAGTGAATAATGATGTGCTGATTAAAAAGGTGCATTACACATTATCTGCTGCCTAAAACTATAGTAACTTGAATTTCAATTGAATCAATTTGTGCAAAGGTCATATCTATCTTGTATTTGGATAAGAAACAGGAAATAGAGCTGATGATGCAGTAGAAGATGGGATTACCCTGAGTCAGGATTGAACTTGTGCCTCAGTATGTTCTTTAAAATAAAATGCAGAACACAAAAATCCTGACAGTTATGAATACTGGCACCTAGATTCTGTATAGGGGTGTAAGTGACTAGTCGACTAGGAACTCAACTAGTTGCTCCCTCTGTTTGCTGCCTTTATCAGAGAGAGGCAGCAAAGGGGATGGGGGAGAAGCAAGAGCCAGTGGTGAGGGGAGCCAGCTTACAAGCTGGTTCCCCCCAGTACCGTCTCCGCGAAGGGCAGGGGCAGCAGTGGGGAAACAGCATGAGCAGGGATTGAAACCGATCCGCTTGCGCTGGTCCCGACTGCTGCTCCTGTCCCTTTTGAAATGTCCAAAGGAAGAGGCACAAAGGGGAACCCGCACCAGCAGGAACTGCTTTGGTCCCTGCTGGCACAGGTTCCCTCTGCCTCTCTCCCTTTGAAATGTACAGGAGCCATGGGCGACAGCTCTTATTCATTTCAAAGGGAAAGAAGCAACAGGATGGTGAGCCTCGCCCCCCCCCCCCCTTTGTTAAAATTCCGTCAACTACTCGATTAGCTGATTAATTGAAATTTAACATCCCTAGTACTAGTATTCTAGTACTGTATGCTCTTTAGGTAATGATAACATAGTACTGCAAAGAAGAGCGAAACCCCTGAAATGGCTGGCTGGTAAAGCCCTCTTGGTGTTTAAACAGCACACGCTTTACCAGGGTATCTTCACTGTGTCTTTATTACTTTTTGCGTTGTGCTCTAGGTGCAACACAAAGTAGCAGCTAATGAAAGGTGCCTTCCTCCTGTTCCCTGGCTCAGCTTTTTATACTGTGTGCGTTCTCTGAGATATCCAGCTCCTGAGTGAATTACTTCATTAGCTCATCAGATTTCCTACTGTTGCAGGGAATCCTCACTACCCTTCCAGACCCAAGCAGACAACCTAATGCCTTCCTACTGTAACTACACCCCATGTCCCTGTCCTAAGTGACCAGGGTGCGGTTTCCCCAAAGGAGCTCTATTTATAGTCACTAACACCATGCTGCAGTATTCTTTATCTCTTGTCCTGAAATGTTGTCCTGAACAGCTGCTGCATCCCATCCTAGAAGTGACTGTGTTAAAGTGTGGGGGAGAATATGAAGAGCTGGGGTTTTTTCTGAAGGAGCTCTTTGTAGTACATTGAGCTCCACATACATTTATTCTATATCACTTATCTCAGATGGGTGGTTTCATTGACTAACTGTCTGGATTCTGCTTTTATGATGATCGATTGCAGGTTTCAGAATTGGTGAGCCAGTACAAACGAGAACATTTGACAGTGTGGGGCAATGTCAATTATGAGATTGTGAAGAAGTGTCATAAAGAGGTAAGCACCAGGAAATAACTATGCCCTAGTTAAGGATCAGTCTCTCCACTCAGTCTGTCAATGTATGGTGATTAATTTATACAATATTTTTCTGTAAATGCTGAGTATTTAGCTATTTAACCAGGTTTTTCACCTGTACTCAGAACTGTAGTACCAATGTGGTATTAAATCTTCCACACATTAAAATATAAATTTGGCATTTTCTTTTTTGTTCTAACTTTTTAAAATAATTACTTGATAATTTTTGTACATGAGAGTTTTTAATTGATGCTTGAGAACGAGACCCACACATTTGTCCTCCAAATCTTTCTCTGTCCTCTTTCCTGTCTTCTGCAG